GAGAGAGAGAGAGAGAGAGAGAGAGAGAGAGATTGCTGGATTGAGGAGATAAAGGCAAAAGAAGCTGACTCCTTCCTTCTCTTTCAGATTTGACAACAGAGCTGTTCTCCCCTGTGGACCTTGAGCAGGTTGTGGTCCGTGGGAACCGGTCCCTGCCCAGCCAGCAGCACTGGCTGTTCAAACACCTTTTCTCAGCTCAGCAAGCGAATGTGTGGTGCCTTTCTCGTAAGTGTCCTTAGACCTTGTCCTTCCTCTTCCCGACCCTGGGGTCAGGCGTCACAGGCCCAGTTCAACAACTCTGGAGAAATAGATGAGATCAAACTCAGTGGCATGACCCCCAGACCACTTCAGTGTTAGTACCATGGGTGATGCGAAGAAAGGACATAACCGTATCTTCAGGATGCTTATAGTTCAGTTAATTTCTGTTCTGCTCCCAGAACTCACCATCCATCCATCCATCCATCCATCCATCCATCCATCCATCCATCCATCCATCCATCCATCCACCCTTCCTTCCTTCCTTCCATCCACCCTTCCTTCCTTCCTTCCTTCCTTCCTTCCTTCCTTCCTTCCTTCCTTCCTTCCTTCCTTCCACCCACCTGCCCTTGACCTAACACTCATAACCTATATCCTAGGCCTTGTGTTTGACTTTTGGGATGAGAAAAAACCCCAAATATCCTGTCCGAGAACCTATGTATATATCATAGGACCAGAACCAGGATGAATCAGTCACAAAGTTCACAATGATTTATAGTCCCATGGCCTTTGGGCTAAAGATCTTGACTGTCTCTGGGCTGGTCCTGCATTGACCCAATGGAGTTTTACCCTCTCTCCCCCTGGATTGCTCACCTCTCACCCTGTTAGACTTTGCTTTTATTCAGAGCCACATGGACCCCCTGTTTAGTGCATGACCCTCTCCCCAGCTGTCAGAACCCCTTCTTGGGCCTCCAGACTGGATAGCTTGGCTGTCCTGGGCCTGTGCCCTGCCTAGAAAGACTCTCTTTCTTCTCAGAAGACCTGGTAGAGGTCACTGGCCCTGCAGGCACCCCCAACACTAACCCCCTGCTCTCCTGCTGTAGGCTGTGTCCAGGAGCCCTCTTTCTGTCAACTGGCAGAGATAAGAGACAGCGCCCCCTTGTACTTCACCTGCACCCTCTACCCAGAGGCCCAGGTGTGTGATGATGTCCTGGAGTCACGTCCCACGGGCTGCAGACTGATCCTGCCCCACAGACCGAGTGCCCTGTTCCGGAAGAAAGGTGAGCTCTCGGTGCGATCGGCACACACTGCGTTTCCAGTGGGCAGAAATATGCAGATCAGTTCTTCCTTTGATGACAAATAGGGTTACCCATGCTCGTTGTCGAGAGGTGAAGCCATTCAGAAGTGCATCCAGTTGGCTGTAGAGGATAGTCCTGCCCTGGAACCCCAGCCCTCAGAGAAAGCTGCTGCGGATGTGCCAGCAGTTAGATTTCCACGCTGCGGTCTATTACAGAAAACCCCGCAATGGTGGCTCTAGGAAGACAGAAGTTCATTTTTCTCTTGGGGCATTAATGGCACTATTTTATTTTTTTGGAATTTTTTTCACTCGGTACAATCTCCATTTCTTCCAAGACATTATCTTTCATTTACTGTTCTATCATCTTAGCCAGAGGCCTTCTCAGAGAACTGGTGACCCTTGTCACCAGTGTAAGAGAAGGGCCCAGAAGCTGGGGAGCTCAGAGCGTGCTTGTTTACTTGAGGTTCCCCGGGAGGATGATTTGGTTGGGCCACCCTTTGGGGAATCCCTCGTGTCATTGTTTTTAGGTTTTGCCTCCTGAGGAATCTTGTAGTATCTGGCCTGGGGCATGAAGCTGGGGGCTGTTGGTTTGGATTCCAAATAAAGTTGGGAGATAGACTCTCAATATTCACCATGTACACTGGCTGGAAAGAATCCTCTAGCTGCATGTGGTGCCCCCGCCATTAACTCTACCTGGTGCGCCCCGGAGGCTCCCCCTTTGGCCCTGTTCAGAAACTGAGGCTCCATCTTCTCTGTCGGAGAGAGGCAGGTGCCCCCTGTGGGGCGCCCAGGGCGTCTGGAGACCTAGCTGCTGCCTGAGGAGCGCCGTGCCCATCCCGCTTAAGGCGCCTCCACCCCGCGGCTGCAGCGCCTACACCTTTTGGGACTCCAGAGGGTGTACAGAGCTGCTCCTTGGTTCTTCCCCACAAAAGACCTAAAAGTTTGTCGGTCTATTAATGCAATTTCGTACTCCTCTGCTTGCTCTCTGGCTTCCAGAATTGTGTTGCTATGTCCCCTGCCCCATGCTCTGCGCGCGCGCGCGTGTGTGTGTGCGCGCGTGTGCGTGTGCGTGTGTGTGTGTGTGCATGTGTGCGTGTGTGTGCTGTTGCCGGAATCCCTTCGCTATTACTGTAGTGAGACTGGGAGTTTCATACACCAGCTTCCACTGGGAGCTCGCAGTCGGGTTTGTACACCTTCGTCCGCATATCTTTATGGACATAACATCTTGCCCTAAGTGATATAATTTCTTTCTTCCCCGTGTAGGTGTGCTTAAGGATAAAGTGAAGAGCTTCTACACCCGCCTGCCATTCCAGAAGCTGGCGGGGGTCTCCGTGAGAAGCAAAGCGCCCATGCCCGACAAGGCCATCTCTGACGGGTGAGCTGCTTCATCCCGCCCCATCCCGCTGACATCTTTATTCCGAAGGCACCTCTACTTGCATAATAAGGAAGGTGACATCAGCTAAAGGCACACGCATTAAAAACAAACAAACTACAACTCAAAGCAAAGGTTGAAAAAGGCAATAAGGCAGTAACCATGTCTAAGAACCGTGGCTAAGGTAGGTTACCGGTAACAAACGTGAATTTAGCCCTGGACCTCCAGTCAGTGGATGCAAAAGGAAAAGGCAAAAGGACATGAGCCCTGTCTCATCAATTAGTGACAATGACCAGATGTTTTAATAAACTTGGTCAGCAAAGTCTCACTGTGTTGTGCTCAGAATTTGGAGAGCAAATAGAACTTTTATCAGGAGCATAGGCACTTTTAATTTATTTGGTTTAGTGTTTTAGAAATGTATTTTATTATTTTTTCCTTAGTTAGCTGTTGTATAGTTGTTTTCAATGAAGGCAATGCTTCTCTCAGCCTCGTCTGTGGTTCTGACCCATCAGAATCAGCAGGAAGACTTTTTACAACCCACACCCCAGAGTTCTTCTCTGGACCTGCTGAGCCAGCATTTCCTGGGTGGGGCTCAAAAATCTGAATTTTAAGTAAGCTTCCCCTCCTGCTGATTCTTTTGTACTTTAGAATTTGGGTCATTGACCTATGAACTGATGATCTAGGAAGTGTTGTCGGTTTGTAAAATGGTGTCATGTTGTTTGTGTTTAAGATCTACTTTGAGAATGGAGGTGAAAAGATGATAGGAGATTGGAGCTCTGGCTGAGCACTGTCTGTGCTGATGGGCGGGGGAAGAGAAGGAAGGCTGGAACCAGGGACCAGCCTGCCCCGGCGTGGGGAAGGGGCTGGGGCACTCAGAGAACGCCAGTGTGATGGGAAAGCACATTATCCAGGCTGGAGCTTAGCAATGAGCTTCCAACAAAGGAAAGCAAAGTGCTGAATGGGCAGGTGGGCAAGAGAACCATCAGGACAGAGATACAGCCAGCGTCAGAGAAGTTGTCCAGGAGATGGAGGCTTTTCCACCAGGACGGGACTTGATTTCATGGGCTACTAGGCAGGGAAGGAGAACGCCAAGAATGAGGCAGGGTCCCCACACCAGAAAGGAACTCAGGTGGAGCAAGCTCTCAGGAATCGGGAGTGAGTGATCTGAACTGGGACATGTGGTCTGGGCAGAGGGAACTCAGAACTGAGCCCAGAGCATCGGTTGGGAGCCACTAAGTTCCTCCTTGCAACACTGGTCCTCGAAGCAGAGGGTGGGGTTCAGGAGCTACAATGAGTAATTAAAGTAGGTCCCGAGAGACTGCTTGGGTACACTGGGCCGGCAAACAGAGGCGTGTTCTGGAGTGTGATTAACCTGTGTGGTGGAGTGTGTAAGGGGGTGGGGTGAGACAAAGCCCAGCTCTTTGCCACCTAAATTGGGTCACTCCAACTGTAGGCCCAAGGAACCCCCCCATTTCTGGAAATACCTTCCCTACCATTATTTTCCTCTCCTAGAACCCAAACTGGAACTTTCTCCCTGTCTGAAAGGATTGTAGGAGTACATTCAGGATGCTTAGCTTGGCTTGGAGCCTGGCATGTAACAGGCACAGAACTTATGTTCAGTGAATGCATGAGTGAATGAATGAAGGATGGCAAGGCAATATCCTCAAGAAAAGAGTAGAGTGTTTCAGAATAAAACCTCAAAGCTAGGAATCCACTCATGCATATTGGCCAGAGCACCCCCAATTTAGGAAGTCATAAAGAAAACAGCCCCCAGGGGTAAGAATGACTGCAATCAGCAAGCCCCTCCGGTAGGTCCTGGGCCACCAGTGGAACCCTTCAGACCTGCTCCTTCTCTTCTTACGCCAGGTTCTTCGAGTGTGAACGCTTGTGCGACGTGGACCCGTGCTGCTCCGGCTTCGGCTTTCTAAATGTTTCCCAGTTGAAAGGTAAAAGTGATAACCCCCCCCTCACCTGTGTACAGCACTTTGCAGTCTAGGAAATGCCTTCACACCTACGATCTTATCTAATCCTCAGCATTTCCTCGTGGTGGGCGGGGAGGAGGATCCTTGTTCACAGATGGGAAGTGGGGGCTTAGAGGGGAGGTGGCTATAAATATGATAGCTGGACATGGCTCCTGGCCTAATATCTGGTCAGCTTACAGAGCACGTCTACCTGACCGGAACAGCCCTCCTCCCACACTTCACTTCACTGTCTTCTCATCTTTCAAGACTTGGGGCAGGCAGCTTTGTGGGTGAACTTTGGATCCATTCATATGATCTGCATTTAAAACCTGATTCAGTGACTTGCTAGTGGTGTGCTCCTGCAAAAGTTACTTAATCTCTGAGCCTCGGTTTCCTCATCTGCAAGCAGGGATATAAATGCTACCTCCTCAGAGGGTTCGGGGAAGACCAGGTGACATGATGCCAGCAGTCCTAGCGCAGCCCTGGGCACGTGGTGGGTGCTCCATCAGTTTTAGCTGCCTTCATTCTTGTGCTCTTGAACTAGAAGTCATTAAGGTACCAGGTTTTTCATCAGCGGCTAAGCTCATACCTAGAATATAGTTGTGAACCCTAAATATCTGCTAAAGAATGAGACTGCAGCTTGGCCAGCGTGGCTCAGTGGTTAAGTGTCGACCCCTGAACCAGGAGGACACAGTTCGATTCCCAGTCAGGGCTCATGCCCAGGTTTTGGGCTTGATCCCCAGTGGGGGGCCTGCAGGAGGCAGCTGATCAATGACTCTCTTTCATCATTGATGTTTCTATCTCTTCCTCTCTCTCCCTTCCTCTCTCTGAAATAAATAAAAACATATATATGTATTTTTAAAAGAATAAGTTTGTAGAATTTTCCTCTTTCAATTAGAATCTTCTGTCCTGATCATTTTTCTTGTCCTGGTTATTATTTTCTTTAACTGTATCTTTTTTCCTTTTCTTAAAATTGAATTTATTGGGGTGATGTTGGTTAATAAAATTACATATGTTTCAATAAGTCAAAAGATACCTTGAAACAATTGAAAATGAGAACACAACCACCTAAAATATATGGGACACAGCAAAAGCAGTCCTAAGAAGAAAATTCATAGCATTACTGGCCTTGGTTATTTTTTGCTCCAGGTGGAGAGGTGACATGCCTAACTCTGAACAGCTTAGGACTTCAGACCTGCAGTGAGGAAAGTGGAGGAACCTGGCGCATTTTGGACTGTGGCTCTTCTGACATTGAGGTCCGCACCTATCCCTTCGGATGGTACCAAAAGCCAGGTAAGTAACTTGCTCAGCAATTACGAGGACATCTTTAGTTGACTGGTTTTCAACCATGTATTCAGATGCTGTCCTAGGGCCTAGAAGAAGATTAGTCAGGATTCACTGGGTGCAAACTACAGAAACTGATTCTATTTAATTTGAGCAGAAAAGGAATTTGATGGGAGTGTGCCCATAGGCTCAGAGGAAGGATGACTGCCTAAGTCTCAGCAACATGGGTGTGTTGAGCAGGGGTGAATGCACAACCTCCTGTGTTCACTGTTATTATGCTTCTCCAAAGGGTTGTGTGGTCGTATTCCAGCTTTAAATTCAGGAGTTTGGCGCAGCTTCGGCTGTGAGCCCACCCATGGCTGTGAGCCCACCCATGAGGGCAGGGAAGCTTGAGTGACAGCCCAGGGAGACTGTGTGCCCCTGCAGGGAGGAGACTCATCGCAGTGCAGTTAAAGTGCTATTACTGGACAGGGGAAGCCAATAGACATGCCCTCCACCAGGTTCCCTTGATTTTCTCATCCTGCCAATTAGGAGAAGGCAACACATTGTCCTAATTGTCTCTCCTCCCATTCTTCTTCCCATCTCCTCATCCCACCAAATGCTGGAAAATGTCATTTTCCATCTTGATATTGCTCAGGGACGAATTGGGTAAAAAGAAGCTTAAGACATAGTTCATTTGTTCAGAAATATCCTGGGCCTCAGAGAGCTTCACATGGGCAATGGCAGTGTAACCTGGGTACCGAGCTGTGTCCACAGAACAAAGGTAGAAGCCGAGCCAGGTAGAATCCAGGAGGAAGGAGCACAAACCCAGAGCAGGGAGCACCGAGGGGGGACCCTCAGAGCCTTGGGATGTGCTCTCTGACTTTGCTGTGTGCAGTGAACAGAAAGTTTCCCATGTCTTAGCATAGAACTGAGGGCCCAGCTGAGCAATTGTAAATGCAAATGAGGCTGTTTGCAGCCCTTTCCTGGCAGTAGGACTCAGAGAGGAAGTATAACATCCAGGGTGGGAGGGCAGGGGGACAAGGGTAGCTCTGTGGACAAGCAATGCCCCAGAGACTCAGGTTTTCTGGAAGGGGCGGGGCCCTGCCACCTGGGTGCCCCTGCTCTTTGAAGGACCTAGGGCTGCCCATTCTCTCCGCAGCTGTGTGAGGCCCGCGGGTGGGGCACGGTCATTGGTTTGTTTATAAAGTCAAATGTGGCTTCTAAAAAAACAAAAGAAGCTTCACAATTTCTCTTTTCTTCTGCTAAGCAAATACACTTGGACCCTGTAGCAATTCTAGATATGGGAATATAACCTGGAAAGGAAGCGACGAGCTCTTCTGGTTAGGTCTGTCCCTACCCCGCACGGAAGCTGCCACATGCAGGTAGAATTTCTGTACAGTCCCTTCTTCACATCGTTCACATCCGAGTGAAGCACTTATGAAGCACAGAGTTGGCTCAGGCACTAGGCTAGCATCTTGCAGAAAACATCTTATTTAGCCCCCAAACAACCCCACGAGGCAGCCCCTGTTGTTACCCCCCCATTCACTGCTGCACTGGCAAATATTTTACAACCAGTGAGGATGGAGGGAAGCCTTGGTTTCTAGAGGGTGCCACATGCCATGGTGTAAATACTCCCACTGTGGCTGATTTTAAGTTAACAACCTGATGTCTCAGAAGGCGGAGTCGGGAAGAAGCAGAAAGGTTAGCGGTCATTTGTTTAACAAACGTGAACTAGCCGAGCCAATAGCTCAAGGCTGCACAGTGAGAAGACACAGCAGGCGGGTCCCCCGGGGCAGTGCCAGTCCTCCCAGGGAGTGAGGGTGTTGATGGTTTCAGTGTTGCAGGGGCCCAGGGAAGCTGAGGACCCTCCCAGCTCAGCTATTCCTGTACAGTGAAGAAAGTCCCACGCAAAGGGCAAGCGGCACCCAGTTACAAAGCGGTGACGGTGGTGAGAAGAGAGGTGGAGAACAGCAGCAGAGCCGGCGGCCGGTCCCCTGCTGCGATGGGCCGCCTGGAGCGCTCTGGTCACTGTCGCGTGGTGTTAGACAGTTTTGTCGGTTCCAGTGTTTCATCAGTGATGCCTCGATGTTCCCTTGCAGACCAAGCTTACTCTGAATTGCAAGTTAATTTCCAAAGCACAGTTACTGGGTCCAAGGCATGGACATTTCAGTGCCCTTGATAGGTGGTCAGGTTGTTCTCTGAAGATGGCACTGACACTCAGGATCTTTGCTCCGAGCCGCTGTCTTCCAGGAAGGATGGACGTTTACACAGAAAAGCAGGGTGCAGGGGCCAAGCTGGCCAGGGGGTGTAACGGGCATGGCGGATGGTTGGTAGTAACTTGAGTGTTGTCTGGAGAGCTCACAGAATATCGATGACAGAAACCTTGGTCAGCGGCCCTCAAAGTGTGTACAGGACCAGCAGTCAGCTTGTTCTGGGAGCTTGTTAGAAATGCCAAGTCTCAGGTCCCACTGCAGTGGACACATGGTGTGTGGGAGAGGTGACCCTTTGCTGTTTCAGCCCCTGAGATGTTGTGATGATTGTCACTTGGGTATCCCCAAGCCCACCCTGACTGATACAGGGATGGTGCTGGGAGTCAAATACGCCCTGCCTTCCGAGCCCAATTTTGCTGTCACCACAGTGTTCCTCTAATAATGCCTTCAGAACTCATGACACTGAGGGTGAGGAATTGCTAACAGGCTGCCTTTTTCTTCTTTGCAGTTGCTCAAAATGACCCTCCTAGTTTTTGCCCTCCAGTGGTTCTGCCTTCCCTCTCAGAGAAAGGTAAGTTCCTTGTCTTGTCAGTGTGTCTGAGGACGGTGCCACCAGCCCTCTCTCCTCTTACTCCTTCTTTTAGCCCAGCAGCCGGCCCCTCTCACACTCATTAATCCCAGCTCCTATCAACTGCACAGATACATAGACAGGACAGAGACCAGCCCATTTCAAAGATGAGGAAACTGACTCAGCAATTACATGGCTTGGTCAAGCAACGCAGCTAACTGGAAGCAGAGTGGGACTCAAGCCCCACTCTCCCAATTTTCATTCAAAGGATTGTTTCACCCTATCAAAGAATGGCTGGGCCTGCACAGTCCTGGGGCCGTGTCAACAGTGGTGGTACTTGTGCCCGAAAAGTGAAAGAACTCAGCTAGCTCTTCCTTAGTGCAGAGGAGTTTGGGCTCACAGCTATCAGCACGCTGGGTGGCATTGTGACATCTAAGGCGGGCACTGGCCCTGAGCCTGGGAGCATGCCCGGACTGAGGCTGCTGTCCCCTGCCTGGTCCTGGGGCAGCAGGGAGTGTGGGAAGGTGGCCGCTCTGGGTGGGGTGAGGTGGCAGCAGGCGGGGCCAGCGTGGGCCTCGCTGCACGTCCCTCCTGTGCCTTCCTGTATCAGGAAGTGAGAGGCTCCCAGAGCCCGAGCGACGTTAATTCCTGCCCTCTGACATGATGTCTGAGGGGATCTAGACACCTGTCATTACGGCCCTGGCTGGAGAGGCAGAATATAGGTCCTGTAGGAGGCAGTCATTTACGGTCACAACCGCGGCCGACAGTGTAAATTTCTCAGCCCACGCGGTCCGTTTCCTCTTTTCCACTTTTTTTCCTGCACATTCTATACGGAATGTGCGTGTCTGAGCGCCGAGGCTTCAGGTGTAAGGCTTCAGGTCCCAGCACTCCACCTGCTGACCTGGCGCCAGGCTCCTGCACGGCCGGGAGGTGCGTGTCGCTGTTGCGATGGCTTGGAGGGCAGAGGCAGGGCTCGGGGAGGTGAACACGCTCAGGCCAAACACGTAACGCACGCCCGAGCCAGACTTTGGGCAGATTTGATTTTGAGTTTTAACAAGATAGTATACAAACATTTGAAATAATCAAATAGCCCTCAAGGGAGGCCACCACTTTCAACTCTTTTAGCTATTTCTTCTCACTCTGGCCTCTGTGTTTCTAAATGATAGGTGACATTGCTGTTCCTTGATTTGTCAGTTTTGGAAATAACTATTGAGTTCATGCCTCGATAGATGACTTAGGGCTCTCTTTCGTCAACTTTTCCTAATTTTCCCCCTTCATTCTCAAAACCTAGCAATATCCAGACTTGAGGCTGAAACAAGTGCATTTGATTGTGACGGCCTTGTGAATATGGTTCCCTGGGGAGCCCCAAAGACTAACAGCGATCTCCTGTTATTACCAACCACCGTGATGGGATCTGAGGCTGACAGTCTTGTTTCCAGCGCCGTGTTTCACCCCTACCTTCCAGGGGACCTCCTGCCCCCTGGGCTGCCGTGGGGGAAATGGGTCATGTCCGTACCCCTCTGTGGGTACCCGCAGGGTTGGTTACTCCACGCTGCTGTGCCCATCGGTACACTTTCCTCTCCTGTTCTTCATCTCAGCATTTGTTGAAATACCATGTTGCTTTTAGCTCATTTCTCTTGTCTTCTTTTGTTATCTTTATGGGTTAAGACTTTGTCTTCACCACTCCATTTTGTACGGGTTTGTGGGGAGAAAGAAGAGAGAGGTGCCCAGTTTAATTAAAAGCAATAATATATATTTTTCAAAGCTTTCCAACATTTAATGAAAACTGTATGTTGTTCTCAGCACTATGCTAAACATCTGCTCCTCACACAAACCTCAAGACACTAGTCCTCATTTAATATTTATTGCTTATAGGAAATTGAAACAACGCAGAAATAGAGAAGAAAAAAAATCACAGGCTTATTAGGAAGTTACTCCGTGTCAGTTAATACATTAGTTTGTTTCCAACCTCCTTGGGCTTTTCTGTATGGTCTGGAGGTGTTGTAATCTCTCTGCAGTGCTAATTTTTTTTTTTTTACCTAATATTGTATTATGTATATATTTCCAAATTGTTATACAGGGTGGGACAAAAGTAGGTTTATAGTTGTTCATATGGAAAATGATGCAATAATGAATAAATAATCATACAAGAATAAGCTGTGCTTCGTGTACTCACAACTGTAAACCTCCTCTTGCCCACCCTGAATATCTCTGAATCACGCACACGTGTGTATATTCACTCATTCACTCATCTGTGTTCCTCCTGTCACGATGCTCCCAACCTGGTAATGAAGAAACAGGTGAGGTCAGCGCAGTGTTATCAGTGACAGTTGTCCTGTCAATCTACCAGGTGGACACCCTGCTGTTCACAAACTCATCCCTTCATTTTTGGACATTTGATTGTTTAGGACCGTTCATCATTATGAAACCACCACTATGAATACCTTGGTACATGGCAATTTCACCAAAGTCCAGATTATTTCCTGGGGGCACATTCTCCAAAGTGAAATTATTGTTTGAGAACTTTGAATTTTAAGAGTCTAGGTTTATATTGCCAAATTAGTCTCAAATAGTTGTCCCTGGTGTTTCTTTCCACCACACCCTTGGAATCCTTAAGTATTATCACTTACAAAAATATCATTGATTAAAATTGTAGCTGAAGAGTGGTTTGATATCTGTTGGATGCATACTGTTCGAGACAACTCAGCCACAGCATAAATACCCAGGTGGGATTGCACCTGCCTCCACCCTGGATTTTTGCTAGACATTTTTGTTGCTGAGATGTGAATTACCAAGAAAAGAAAAATAAAAAAAGAATATAGCCCATCTCCCTTCACACACACAATCCATGGATCTGAGTAGATGTTTCCAAGGCAGAATGAACGGCTACAGTATTTTTAAATATGCCTGTGACAAGTGCGATTTGCAAGCAGGAGAGACATCAGAGCCGGCATCCCATCTGTGCCTCGAGTTCCCAGATTGGAACTAGGACTCTGAGTGTGTGCTTTTGACGTGAGTCAGAGGGAGGGTGTAATTCTGCCTCCAGGCTACGGCTCTGTCGGAGTGATTCTGACATGGATTGTGTGTGTCTGTGTGTGTACACTATGCATACGCATAATGCTCATCTCTGTGAAGTTTGTATTTAGGGAGCATAGGATTTTAATTTGGTATTAAATACCAAACATTTCATAAATCATTTAATGCTCACAAGAAAGTTTGATGGTACCAAGATCTGTTTTTCAAATAAGGAAACAGGCTCCGCTAGGTTAAATGACCAAGCTGGAATTTGAACCCACATGTTTCTGGCCCCTCAGAGTTAATAAGAGTATTTGGTCTGAGCTCCTGGAAAGGGTGAGAGAGTGGACATTTGAGTCATTGCCTTGTCCGGAGGCCGAATCTCTTGGCCTTGTTTCTTACAGGAGCGTGTGTATCAGCCGCCCCTCCAAAGTCGAGTGTGAAAGGGGATTCTGATGTTCTGATTGGTCGATGGGGATGGTGTGAAGAGGAGGGGGACTTCTGAAATCTCACAGGCCTGTCCCGGTACAACCATGTGTTAGAAATTACTCTGAACCCTTCATTGGTGCTGCTCCAGAGACAGTTTCTAACACATTGGCTGGTTTGAAGATGGCAGGAGTCATCCAATGGGCTAGTTTCAGAAAGTCTTTCAAGAGACAGTGACTTGTCCATGCAAAGGCCCCGGGGCATGAAATCAGAGATTGGAGAGTTTGGGATGGCAGACATAGAGCCATCAGTGGGATGAGACAGAAGATGAGCAATAGAAAAATCCTGTAGCTGAGTGTGAATCCAGTGTAAGGGCCTTCATACTGGATTTGGAACTTGACCTTGGCAAGATCTCCTGGGGTGGGGGAGTGAGCAGGAAAGTGACAGTGAGCTCTAGGGCGGCCAAGTATGTAAAAGTGTTAAGGCAAAGAGATCATCTTTCACCTCACTTGAGTTCAGTTCAGTGAAGTCGCCTATGTCAGCCACTTTTGGATAAGCCTCCTTAATTCTCACTTGTGTTCCTTCCAGAAGAGGTGCTGCGCTGGGGTTGGAGGCCTTGATGGCAAAGACAGGAATCCACGTTCTGGTCACGAGAGAGGAGCAGGAATATAGAAATCAGGGAGATAAGCCGCTTACGTAGCAGTGAACTGACTTGCAGGCTGTAGTGGGAGGAGGGAAGGCTCCCCCAAGTTAACCACAGACAGGCAGGGATGGACCACAGGCACATCATGGCCACACAATGACACCAGGACTAGTGTGCATTTGTCAGATGGCCAAGAGGGGACAGAGAGACATCCTGGGCAGAGGGCAGGACATGAACAGAAGCCCAGGGGCATGAGTTAGCACGGCACATGCAGGGAAATACAATAGTTCAGGGTTGTAGGTCAGGAGGGCGCTGGATGGGGGCTGGGGGCCGTAACGATAGAGTGTGTTGGGTACCACACATCCTTGGAGGGCTTTAAGCAGTTGCACAGTGAGCTTTAAAACGACTCGAGCCCTGCCGGGCCTGGCTCAGCAGGTGAGCGTTGACCTAGGATCCGGGAGATCGCGGTTCTATTCTTGGTCAGGGCACATGCCCAAGTTGCAGGCTCGATCCCCAGTGGGGGGCGCGTAGGAGGCAGACGATCACTGACGGTTCTATCATTGATGTTTCAGCTCTCTCTCTCCCTCTCCTTTCCTCTCTCTGAAATCAATAAAGATATATTTTTTAAAACCCCCCAAAACAAAAAAACTACTCAAAAGCTCCTTGCTTGGGCTGTGAAGGGGATGCGGTGGTGGATGGACTAGCTAGATTTTGAGAAAAAGAGGTCAATTGTGTCATCTGTTATATAGAGTGTCCTTTTAGTCTTTTTGGGAGAAAACTGTACTTTTTTTTTTAAACAAGCAAAACAGTGAAGATGTTATTTCTTCTGAAGAGAAAAATGTCCATTGCTGTTTAGGCGACCAATCCAGAGAGGGCTGTGGGGTTAGCGCGGGCTGTGTGCTCAGGTGTGGAGCCTGCC